ACCTGCCTCTGCCAGCCTTGACTTCTCCCTTCAGCTGTTGTGGTTCCTGAGTGAAACCATGGGAAGAAACCATGGTGTGGCAGCACCAGTGTGTCCAACTTACTGGGCAGTGGGGTGAACTCCACAGCTGAGAGGTTGGTGATCCTGCTGGTGTCCAGCTCCACGCGGTGATACTCGTAGATGGTGCGACGTCGCGACTCTGCAACACAGAGCTTTGGCTTCAGGCTGGGCACAGCCCCCCCTGCCCAAGGCCTTACCCCACCTGGGGGTGGGCAAAGCTTGGGGAGGGGGCTGCTGGCTCCCAGCTGAAAGGCAAAGGTGGCTTCAGGTGTGGGGGTCACTCCCTTGGGAGAAGGAGGTGGCAGAAGAAGGGATCAGGAGGTGCTGGGGGCAGGAGAGGTGTCAGGGCACAGATTTCACACCCCCCTGTTGGGCCAGGAGGAGCTCAGAGCTCTCTGTCCCCCTCTCCCCAAGCAGAAGCTCTGGTGATGGACGTGGTCCAGCCTTGCATCTCTCCAAACAAACACGAGCTGCACAACACATTGCTCGGCAGTGACTCACGGGCTGGAGCCTCCCCCGGAGCTCTGGGGGCTCCCACAGCCTCCTGCCCCCCAAACCTCCTCCTTCCACACCTTCCTCGGGCCTTGCCCCCTTTCTTCTCTTCCCCCTTCATCCTCAGGGTCAGCTGGGTCTATCCCGGATTCAGCTTCTCCCAGATGTGACACCAGCCAAGATGCTCCTCTGGCATCACACTTATCTCTGTGGTTAGTCCAAGCTCTCCTTCCAGCACAGCCACATGCTCCACACTTAGAAACGAGTGGATGAGCAGGATGAGCACGTCCAAGCTCTCCTTCCAGCACAGCCACGTGCTCCACACTTGGAAACGAGTGGATGAGCAGGATGAGCATCCTCCTCTCCTACTCCTCTCCTCCCTCCAACCCTTGTTTCTCCACCTCATCAGCATTTTCAAGTCCATTTCTTCTCCTCTCTCACAGCCCAGGGCAGCAGGAGGCAAGGACAGGGCTTGGGAAGCCTGTGGGGATGGTGGGATCAGCCCAGAGAGGAGCAGCTGCAGAGCAGGAGGGGAGGAACCATCCAACCTGGCCAAGGTTCTTACACAAACTGCTGTAAAGGGGCAATAAATGAGGCCCAGATGGCAGGATGCAGGAACCACACAGAAAAGCACAGGGAGGCAGGAGCAAGGTTGGTCCCCTTGGGACTGCAGAGGCTGGAAGAGCCTTTTTTGGGAGGTCACCCCAGGCCTGCAGCTCATGGAATGTATGGAATAAGCATGTGAACATGCATGTGGGCATTCCCATGTCCTGCTGGCACAGGTGAAGATCCCAACCCTGATCCACATAGAAGGACACCCCAGAGCAGCAGCAGCAACAGTGTTAGGGGCTACAGACCTCCCCAGACCCCGCATCCCTATGGGAACAGGACACCCAGCACTCCCCAAGCCTCTTATCCATCCTGCAGTCCTGCTTGGAATCATTCTCCCCCTCCTCCTCATCAGCTGGGGAGCAGGGAAGAGAGGGTTTGGCTGCTCATGGAGATTCTGAACACAGTGGGCAAGAAACACCGAGTTCCACCCAGAGCATGAGGCTGAGCAATGGTCTTGGCCAAGGGAAGGTGCACTCAGAGAGGGATGTACTCCAAGAGGGATGAACCCCAAGAGGGATAAACCCCAAGAAGGATGTACCCCAAGAGAGATGTACCCCAAGAGGGATAAACCCCAAGAGGGATAAATCACCCCAAGAGGGATAAACCCCAAGAAGGATGTACCCCAAGAGAGATGTACCCCAAGAGGGATAAACCCCAAGAGGGATAAATCTCAAGAGAGATGTACCCCAAGAGGGATAAACCCCAAGAAGGATGTACCCCAAGAGAGATGTACCCCAAGAGGGATAAACCCCAAGAAGGATGTACCCCAAGAGAGATGTACCCCAAGAGGGATAAACCCCAAGAAGGATGTACCCCAAGAGAGATGTACCCCAAGAGGGATAAACCCCAAGAGGGATATACTCCAAGAGGGATAAACCCCAAGAAGAATAAACCCCAAGAGGGATGTACCCAAAAAAAGATGCACCCGAGGCATGTAACCCAAGAGGCATGTACCCCAAGAGGGAGATACTGCAAGAGGGATATACTCCAAGAGGGATAAACCCCAAGAGAGATGCATTCCAAGAGGGATGTACCCCAAGAGGGATAAACCTCAAGAGGGATGCACAGAAGACATGGGACACAAGGGGCAGCTGAGCCCCACACACCTCCTCACACTCCTTGGTCCTCCTAAATCCAAGCAGCACATCCTCATGTCCTGAAGTACCCAAAGACAAGGACATCTCACCTCTCCCTCCCCCCTGCCCCTCTCCAAGCTGTGATGCCCAGACAGCCCTGACATCCCCGTGGGATGAGCTCCTTCCCTGCCCCAGCAGCGACTCACCAGGCACCTCGGGCGCAGGGTTGAGGACCATGAAGGCATCAGAGAGCCCAGCCTTCACGGGGTGCTGCCTGGCACTGATCTGCACCACTGGCACTGGGATCTGCAGCCAGGGAGACAGCATGTGGTGGGGCCCAGCCCCAGTGGGAGAACAGTCACAACACCAAACCCCCTCCCAGACCCACAGGGACCCCATGGGGACCCTTCTTCCCCATCCCAGACACACAGGGACCCCATGGGCACCCTTCTACCCCATCCCAGACACACAGGGAC